ATATTCAGTAAAACTAGTACATATTAAAACAGCTTGCTGCGATAATATCATTGGATAATTTCTTGCATGGTAGTAGATCGATGTAACTATGTAGGTGAAATCATCTGGCAGCAGGTGAAGATGAAGAATAAAAATGTTGTTCTAATAGATGGGACCTCATCATCTCATGGTTTCTTCAGTTTGATCATGTCTTCTTTTACACAGTAAATGAGTGGCCGTTTACAGCCACTTTGGATGTTATTATTCAAATAAATGGTCATTATTAGAGGCTATCAGTCCCATAGAATAGCTTCAGATTGTACCAGTAGGCTCAGTAGGTTGTTATTATCAAGTGAATTCTAACCCTAACGTATTTATTTCTACCCTGCGGAATTAAATGATATATTTATGTGTAATCTAAAAATAATTTAAGTAGTTCTTCATGTACTACAAATATGACTAAATAAAACTAAAATGTTTTCCTATCCTGTCTCAGAGTTGTAGAATCCTCTCCCTATAAATATTCAATAATCTGTGGAAAAAATGGAGATCATTCTTTAATAAGATCCTCATCAAACGGACATGCAATGTTTGTATTTAGAACCTAATGTGTCTAATGGACGTAGTGAATAATTTGTTCTTTTTTTATGCACAAAACAAAGACAATAATCTGATTAAATCAGGAAATAAAACAGCAAGATTGGCTGTAAGGAGAGCGGAGCTAGGGGACACTCCCAGTTTACTAAACAAAACCTTCTGTTGATCATGTTACTTCGGTGATTAAAGCAGAGGATGAGGAAACTCTCTTTGTTAAACGGAGTTTAAGTTTTAATAGAGTAAACCTTTTCCGTGAAACGGGCCCCTGGCATGTGAAAGATTCTTCCCATTAATGCACAGCACTGTATTGCTAATAGGTGATATTTTAAAAATAATATTTCTTTTTAGACCCTTTAGGAATCAGGGGTACAACGCTCACAGCAGGATGATGAGAACCAGAGCTCCCTGTTGGCAGACCAGGAGAAGGTATATTTAAAGTACAGCCAAGCCAAATCAGTTTTTCAGTGGTTTCTCTAAATCAAGTATTATGTCGAAATTAATGAAAATCCCTCCGTAAGAATGGCCCATTGATTGATACACAGATTGAGAATCTGTGATGTTTACAAATACTCTCCATGCAGGCTGACTTAGTGATTTGCAACAAATAGGCAAAAACTGTAGTCTTTAGAATTGCAAAGCAGGTAGATGTAACCTAAACCATTGCAGCTGTGACTGCAGCATATGGTTGTGATTTACCCCCTTCTTTCTATTTCACCATTTTGCTCCAGCTGTGTTGGTTTACCTAATATAATAATAATAAAAAAAAAAAAATCAAAGTCTGACGGTTCAATGTGACAAACTCTTACAATGTTTAAGGGATGTAAACACTATATTTGCATATCCTTTTCCCGAGACTACTTGAGTTCGGGCAATTTGAATACAATAAAATGATGTCTAGTCTAAAGAGCTTGTTACACACACATTCAGATCTCTCTTTTTAACGTCTTTTACTTAGTCAAGCATAAAAGCTAAACCAGAACTATAGTGACCAAGAAGTATTCATACCCAATGAACTTTCAACATTTTGCCACATTATAATCTCAAACATAAATATATTTAATTGAAATGAGAGAACAGCATAAAGTGGTAGAGAAAATGTGAAGTGGAAAGAAATTAATACATAATTCAACACAAATTTTACAAATGAAATATTTGTAAAAATGATGGACATTTTACCTAATTGAGTAGAGTCTGCATAAAACTCAGTATAAATACAGCCTCAGGGGTTGGTTAAGGGAATAATTGGCAGCAAATAACATTATAAAGTCAAACAAACACCAGAGAAGTTATGGAGAAGTTTAAATCAGCCTTAAGCGGGAAAAAGTATTTTAACTGGTTGAACCACATTTCACTGAATATTCTACAACTGAAAACCCACCAAGACCATGCCTTCCACCCAAACCTTGACATCAAACAGGAGAGCACTGATCAGGGATGCCGCAAAGAGAGCCATGACAAAGCTGGATGAGTAGAGATTTAAAGCTCAGGTGAGGGAATCCGTCCACAAAACAGTAATTAGTTATGCGCTGCACAAAAATGGTCTTTATGGAAGAGTGATGGAAGAAAACCATTGTTAGATAAAACCATAAGAAGTCCTGTTTGCATTTTGCCAGAAGCCATATTGGGAACACATCAAACATGGTGAGGAAATGCTCTGGTCAGACAACGAAAATGAAACATTTTGGCCAAAATGCAAATCCAATCCAATCCACTTTATTTATATAGCACGTTTCAATAAACACAAGGTTTCCAAAGTGCTGCACAAAAAGATAAAATAAATAAAAGTAAATAAAATAAAAGCACTGCCAACACAGGATAAAAATATGCATGTATATACATAAAATCAACGCTCTACATGATGTCAAAAGCCAAAGAAAAGAGGTGGGTTTTAAGAAGAGTTTTAAAATGAGACAGAGAGGTGGCCTGTCTAATGTGCAATGGCAATCCATTCCAAAGTTTTGGAGCTGCAACAGAAAAGACGTGCAGCAGCTTTTTGTACCAGTTGAAGATGAGCAATTGAGGACCCACTAATCCCCATATAAAGTGCATTACAGTAATCCAGCCGAGTGGTCACAAAGGCATGGATTGCGGTCTCAAAGTGCTGTCTCTAAAGGACTGGTTTGATCTTTGCCAGCTGCCTTAACTGGAAAAAGCTAGATTTCACTACAGCTTTTATCTGGATGTCAAGTTTAAGGTCTGAGTCTACTTTTACCCCAAGATTTTTTACAATTAGTTTGCAATATTGCGCTAAATAACCCAGATCAACTTGGGGTGGGGGTGGGGGGTCACAGAGAGTCATCAAGGCTGATAGAGAAAGTCCGATGTGACAGGTAGGACATGAACCATTCCAGTGCTAAGCCCCTGATGCCCACCCACTGCTCCAAACGAGCAATCAGGATTTCATAGTCCACTGTATCAAATGCTGCAGTCAAATCTAAGAGCACAAGGACAACACAGTGTCCAGAGTCAGTAGCTAAAAAGATGTCATTAGGAAAGTACTATAGTGGTGGATAACTAACGATGGATATCACTCTAAAGATATCATCCCCACAGTCATATATATAAGGGTGGCAGCATCATGCTCTGGGGATACTTCTTCTTTTCAGGGACAGCGGAAATGGTCAGAGTATATGTGAAGATAGATTGAGCTAAGTACAGGGCAATATTTGAAGAAAAAGGAGCCTGCAAAAGACTTGATGCTTGGACGAAGGTTCACCTTCCAACAAGACAACAACCCTAAACAGAAAGTCTGGCTGCAACGGATGGTTCAAAACAAAACATAGTCATTTGATAGAATGTCTCAACAATCCAAAGTAATTCTCTTATCAATTCTGTGAACAATGAACTTCATAAGTGCACAGTGACATTTGGGGGACATTCAATTTCTGCCTGCCTCAGCGAAAACAGAAGGCAGTGAACGGGAGCTGCCAGCCTGAGCCAGCCAGGCTACCCGTCTCGTCACATTCATCTAAATCTAATGGAGAAGGCATCAGTTTAATGAAAAAGCATTACTGTAAAAGTTCGGGACATAAACTCATTAAACTCACAATAAACTCATCTCCCCGTGATTTAAATAAATGAGCGTCACCGTTCTCTTGCTCCCTGAACTGCGGAGCAACTTCATAGCATGTTTAATAACCCCACAGAGAGGTAGGAAATTGGTTTATTTCTGGGAATGGCATATGATTTACTAGGAACCACATTAAGCACAGCCAGTGATATAAAACTAGCTACTTCCCACCAGAGTTGGCTTCCATGCTGGTCGTAACTTTAGCTTCTGTCCGGAAGCATCAAAAACACGGCATTCGTTAAAATGTATGCCATGATGTGTGCACAGGTGTTTCTGCATGTTGGATGGATTTCCCCCCACGGATGTTATTGTCACTTTACATCCAAACTTTCGATCGGTTTACCTGATGGGATGCAATTTTGTTTGTTTTGCTTTTCTAGACTTACGCCTGGTCACGTCTTACATGCTCACTGAATGCCGTGTGTGTAACTTGTGTAAAAAACTCTGCATAACTTACATAGAAAACGAGACGTAAGGCGTGCTGCCCAGCGCTAGGCTCTGGTGCTTCCTGGAACCGTTAAAAGAATTGTTAAACGAGCTGCCAAACGGTGCCATGGAATTGGAACACACGGAACCGGTTCTGAACAGGAACCGGTTTTCGATTCCCATCCCTACTGTAAAGTGTAACTATGATGAAAATTACAGACCTCTGTCATTATTCTAAGTAGGAGAACTTGCACAATCAGTGGCAGACTAAATACTTTTTGGCCGCACTGTGTATACATATATATATAAATATATATATATATATATATATATATATATATATATATATATATATATATATATATATATATATATATATATATATATATATATATATATTTTTTTTTTTAGATATATAGATTTTTTTTTTCATCATTGTAATAAAATGTAGCTATCTTGCTATCGTGACGGTAATGTGACAAAATGTGGTAAAGTTTCAGGTTGAGCATACTCAGTCAATTTAAACTGTTTCTCCACAAGCAGAAAATATTAGGCCCACAGAAAGGATTCAAAGACTAAACATCTCTGGCAATTGAAATAAATTATTGGGCTTTTGTATTATAGTTGAAAAAAAAATAGAAAACTTTAGATCTTCTACTATATATCATCTCTAAACATACTGTAAGGGGAAACACAGAATTAGGCCTGTTTATCTTTTTAGCCATTTGATGTACTTTTATATTTTCCTTTTCACAAAAGCTAATTTGCCCTTCCTAAAGTCAAGAGTTCTGCTCATGTAAATGTGAACAGCAGGTGGGCAAGTAGTGTCACTGGTCAGCTCATTGCATTGAGGCGTGTCTTGATGACACTATCCTGTAGAAGGGTATAAAATGACATAGCTCCTCTTCACCCAATGATCAGACTTAATGTCACTAAGTATGGGAAAGAAAGGCCACTCTGAGCTGATGTTGCTCCTCTTCACGATGGCTGTGCTTTGTCTAGAAGCAAAGATACACAAAACTGTTTACATTTCTTTTCAGAAACTCACTTGGGATGAAGCAAGAAAGCACTGCCAGGAAAACTATATCGACATGGTTACCTGGGACGTAGTAAACCCCGAGCTGCTGAATGAATTGTTGAAGGAAGAAGACGACAGTAACTTCTGGATTGGTTTACATGAGGATCCTGAGCAATTGTTGTTCTGGAGTTGGATCAATGTAAAGTGAGTTTCCATATGATGACATATATATAATGACATTTCCATCTGATGAAATTCTACCAATGACCACCTAAACGTGTCTGTGTTTATTTCAGAACTGGTATAGGCTTGACAGGAGATAGAGTCAATGACAGTGAGAGCTGGCACCTCACGCTGCAATCGTCTGGTAGCTGTGGCTCTTATAACAGCCGAACCAAAAAGTTAGAAAGCGAGTTATGCACGAAACAGCTTCCCTTCATCTGCTTTGGTGACAACCTGATTATAGTGGATGAGAAAAAAACATGGGAGGATGCACTAAATCACTGCAGGAAAAAGATAACTGTATCCTCCAAATCTGACCTCTTGAGCATTACCAACCCAACTGACTACTACTACGTCACTGATCGGATCTACAGAGCCACCACTGAGGAGGTCAGAACCCAGTTAAGTACTACTGCAGTATTCTGAACCAGACTATGAATCACTGATGTATTCCATGTTGGTGTGTCAATCAGGTTTGGACAGGCTTGCGTTTTCTGGGAGGGGAGTGGTGGTGGTCAGATGGAGAGACTTTGGACCACCAAGAGACGCTGCCGGGGTGCCCCAGCCAGTGGCAGCACTGTGGCACCCTGTCCAAAAATAACAAGGGATTCTGGATCACCAGAGACTGCTCAGAGAGGAGGAACTTCATCTGCTATTATGAAAAAGTAGCCGAACAGAAGGAATATGTGTAACTCTATTCACTGTTGATGTGTATAGTCCCATGCTTGCTTTCCACTGATGTAGCATTTTGTTGTGATAGACGAACATTTCAATTCATAAGTTGATAAATGTAAAAACATGCTTTTTATTTGTTAATAGTGCCAAAGCATAGATATTTTAACACAGAGAGGTCCAAGATGGTAATAATCTGTGTATGTAAAGCTGGACTTAGGGCTGAGGAGCAATATTTAAATATTCAACCAAAAGCAGCAAGTAGTTTGATTTATGTTATTTAATTATCTCTTATCCTATCTCTAATTGCTTTTGCATGGTCACGCTGTGGTAGAGTTTTTACCACCGTTGTCAACAGCAAAGAACAAGGTAATGGAATTCATACAGATGATTTCAGCTGTATGAAATCATAATTAAATAAAAAAGATAAATCTTTTTTTTTTATCTAAACTTTAAAAAAGTTGAATCTAAAAGTATTTTAAAATTCAGCTGAACTAACCTTTACAAATTTCCAGAATTGCTTAAACCTCCTTACTTATTAAGAAAATAACACAAAGTTTCCTTTTAATTTAAATACACGAAAAACAAAACCTCCTGAACTCCACAACCTTATTTGATCCTCCGTAGCTCTTTTTTTGCTTTAGCAGTGCTTATAGGGTCCATAACAGGCTGAACGGCCCCTTGGCAACCATCTTAACTGTTCAGATATGGTCTATTGACACGGTGACTTATGAAATGTCTAAATATTTGTTTAATTTCTATCTATTCTTCATCATCAGTTTATAATAAGCAATAATTTTATTCTTATACAATAATATTTTGGATTGTGCTGTGTATACATCATGCTGTATAAATAAATATTCTTTGCCTCCTTGCAGATTGAAAAAGTTTCAACGATTTAGTGTCCATTATCCTCACAGTTCAGTAAAAACATCCCCCAGCCTAATACCTCCACCTCTGTGCCAGACTGTCAGCCTGGTATACTAGTCATACAGTCATCTTTCTCCACACATGATGGTGGATGTGATCCTGGCTTCCTCCAAACAAAGCTCTTTCTCTGCAGTCTTTTTGCTGAATGCTTTAGCTTTTCATTTAGGGACAGCAGTCATAACAGGATTTCACTTAATTATATGGGAAAGTATGTCCGCAGTTATATCTGAAGCTAGGAAACAAAGCACTCGTAGAATTTCAAAATTCCCTGCAGTGTCCTGCTTATTCTTTACTTCCATCATGGCTTCAGCTCAGCTGGGACATAAAATATGAATAAATTGTAGGATGATGCTCCACTAGTTGATTGTTCTAATAAATATTTACAATAGGGATGCAACCAACAACAGCACATTGACGGGACATCAAAAGAAAAATATTACTGTGGATGAATACATCATAATAAAGTAGTCTTTCTTGGATGCTTTGCAGAACATAGAAATACCTTAACAGATTCAAACACAAACACCAAACTTTACATTTTTTGAAGCCGTGTGTTGTTTTTATAATTTTATTCTGGAAATTATGTTTCCAATAAATTATTAAAACCTAATGAGATTTATACCAATCTCTTTGGTATTTAACCTTATCTAAACAATGTTAACAATGATATTACTTAAAGAATTTAAGGATTGTGATTTTATCTTTGCTGTGGGTAAAAAGGGTCTCTCTGAATGATCTGCTCAGTCCTGTGTCTAGGTTTCCTTTATCATACACAATAATGATAGGTAATATTGACTAGACATCCATGTAACATTTATTTTTGACTACTTTGGAATGTTGAGACTAACTTTATCATTTCAATTGTATATATATATAGTATAGTATATCTGCTTCTTTTAGAATATTTTTTTCATATGGGAAAAGCTCTTTTTTTAACCAATCTCTCGATTGGTGTTTCTGTTAAATCCATTATATTAGATACCATTGGTTCCCTCTGATAAGTGACTGTTCAAAAGCTACTTAGAATTAATAAAATTAGGTTGAAATGGGAGCATAGCAACTAAATATGGGCCTAATGAAAATATTTGCCCATGAAATATGATTTTTATATCAGATTTATCATCAGTTGTAAATAGATTTATTTGATAAACACATTTAAATAAATGTATAAATGAATGTACCTCATAAATATAGCCTAATGGTTCGAAAACAGAATTGATCTAAAATGAATTTCTTAAAAAAAAAAAAAAAGATGTAATGTTTGCGGCACTTAACAACTTTTAATTAGATGTTTTGGGTTATTGCTGAGCTGAAAGATTGCTTCACAACCTGTTTAAGCAGCAGTATTTAAACATGTGTCCCTAAGAACTCCCAAGAACGATAAAAATCTACTCTTGCAGTTATCTGTTTGTTCCCTACTCCTCTTGAGATTTCAGCTGATAAGTGAAACTGCATATATTGAATAAATTATCATAATATAGAATACATATCATAGCCAAAATAAATTAAGTCATTCAATAAAATGCAATTAAAATATACTTCTCACAGGATTGTTACCCTTATTATTGCCTTAAATAGGGAAATTAAGAATGTTATTGATTGATGCGAACTTCTTTCCTAGAAAGATATGATAATACAAAATACAACTTTAAATTGTAAGTAAATAAGTAATAAAATAATTTAGAATTTGATTTAATTTTAATTTTGGGTTTGTCTTTCTTGTCATTGGCTGTTAAAGCCTGTAGAGTGTCATCTAACTTGACAAAGCCAAATCCTGTTAAATCTTTATTGCTAGCTGATAGTTGTGTCTATGGAATCCCAGCATCACTGTCCCAAGTAATGTATTTTATTCTATACAAACTCTATCAATCTCCAGTTTGGTGGTGGTGACATAAGGCTGTTGGACCAACAGAGCACATAGTGGATGAAATAATGAAAATGGAGGACTTCTTACAAACTCCACAATCTTCTTCACCTCAGATTATCAGCTAGATGGATGGATGAAATTTGAACATGATTCGTTTTAACAGAAAAATATTTTCAAAACACATTGCTAGTCTAATCAGTTTAGGCTAATTGAGCTTGGGCCATTTTGCCAAAACTGAAATTATATTTGTTTTACCCCAAATCCTTTTTTTTCATGTTCTTTTTTTTCTCTTTGATTTTCCTACGCTCTTTTCGTTAAAAGGCAATTGCTTTGTTTCAGAGTTTCTTTGTTCTCATTGCCTTGAATGCCTTTTTTTTGTGCATTGTGGATTTTACTGTTTTTTTATAAAATGCTTACATCTGGCTTGCATGTAGGGATCTGCATAGTCACCTGGTGATATTAGGATGTAAAGCTGTGTGCCATCTGCATAGTTATGGAAACTGATCTCGTTATTAGCTATAATCTGAGCTAAGCAAAGCATGTAGATGTTGAATAGTAGGGGCCCCAGAATGGACCCTTGAGGAACCCCAGATCTCAGTTTTTTGGTTTCTGACTTAAAGTTCCCTACTGATGTATAAAAGCCCTTTTGCTTCAGGTAGGATTTAAAACCAGTCCAGTGTTGTACCTGACGCTCTGATAAAATCAAGTGATCAACGGCATCAAATGCTGCACTGAGGTCCAATAGTAACAGCAGTATGGTTTTTCTAGGGTCTGAATTTATACGAATGTCATTGAACACCTTAATATGGGCAGTCTCAGTGTGGTTGACATGGAAACCTGAGAGGAAAACATCAAAAGTTTTGCACCTGATCTAACCCGGTGCAATCCTTTTCTTTTGAAGAGGTTTCTCTTTTACCAATAAAACCAAACGATCTTGCAGAGCAGGCTCGTTCACAAGCTAGGTATAAGAATAAACACGTTATTAATTCCAAAAGGGAAGGCCCTCTTTAAAATTGTTTTATTTAACAATAAACGTTAAAGGGGCAAATGTTCGATTTCATGTCAAACTTCGCCACAGAGCTAAAGCCACACAAATGGGGCGTCACTTTCTTGCCATAGCGACAACGGCTTTCCGTTTTCATTGGAGGGAAGAGGCCATCCCATTCTCATTTATACCCTCCACCTTTAATCAAGGTACCTTCCACAGCTGCAACTGGGACTTTATTGGGAGTGGCACTTGATAGTTAAGGGGAGGTGCATAGTGGGAGGTTTGGGAATCAGCCAGAGGGCCATTGGAGCAGGTCATACAGCTGGCTACTCGATGCTGATTGGCAAACATACTTCAGATTTTGACTGACAGTGACCAGACAGTGAAGAGGTTTTCCTCATGAGTTGAGAGAGAAAAGTGATCATTCAGTCAGAACAGTCATCTTGTGCTGAACTTTTATCTATTCTTTATTATTTTAGAGCACTGCTTAACAGCTATTTTCAACCGTTGTAGTAATATGTTTTATGTCTTTCAAAATTTTTGAATGCAATATGTGACATTTGGATTTAATTAACACCATTGGGCCCCCCTGTTTCAGAGAGCAGCAGCTGCCACTGCTCTATAGTCACTAGTTTGTCAGATCTGTGCTGCCGTAGCTCCTATATAATTATATAGAGCAATTTCTAAGGCAAGGTAAAAATAAAGATTGAGACTAAAAGAAAATAAAAGACACACTTATGTATAGTATATTGCATTTCTGTCAGTAAATCCCTGTAATACTTACAGCCTGTAGCTTTAACATGAAAATATAGCATTGAAAAATATATCAAGATGAAAAGATCTTTAAAAACAAGGCAAGATAACTCTGTCTTAAGCTTTCAATAAGCTTATAGTTTTCTTCTGATGAGGTACTCTTTGAACTGTTTGTTCATCAGGGAGTAATATCTATGAAATGCATTTTAAGTTTTAATAGAATTTGTTCCAATAAAAACATTTGATTATGACCTAATCATTAAGAGAAACAACTCCTGTATCTCAAGCTTACTCATACTCCCTCCTACATATCCTAAAACCACACCTCCTTAGACACGATTAGAGCTCCCACAGTCTAATGCTATGTTCACACCACACCTGATTTCAGCAGCAAAAGCCTGCTGTTTCATTTTTTATGCTTTTACACATTAAGGTCAGAAATGCCTCAAGAGCATCTTTGATGCTCCTGTTGCATCGAATGGCATTCGTGTCATTGAAGTCATACAGTCTTTATTATTCCACTGCCTAGAAAAAAAAGGGGGAAAAGAGATAATTGAATCTGCTAGCAAGATCAATCCCCTTTCTGGTTGTTGTGCATACCCACCACCCCCCAAAAATGGCATGTGCTTCTTTATTTGAGGTGCTTTTAATCCATCTGTTTAAAATGATAGGACAATGGGTCAGGTTGGGTGGAGGCTTTGAGGACCCAAATGCAGAGATAAGTTCACAGATTTAATGAATAATCCACAGGCAAACAGGGGCAAAAATCCAAGAATGCAAAAATACTAGAAAAACCAAACAAAATAAAATCGATGTCATGGAGAATTCACAAGAGGAGCAAGAGACGAGGAAGCAACAAAAACAACAATTAGAAAGCAGCACAGAGTGAAAGCGCTGCAGCTGTTTAAAGCCCAGCAGTGAGACTGTATACCTGTGTATACTATGCAGGTTCTCTACAAAGATCCTCTCAGGAAGAGATGCATCACTCACTCACACCCACCCACGCACACACACACACCCACACACACACCCACACACGCACACACACACCTGCTCTATGTAGTGAGGACAATGTGTTGACTCCCATTGACTTCCATTGATTTTCAGTCATTTTCAACCTATGCCTATTCTATGCCCTAGCCCTGCACCTAACCATTACCAATGAATACTTCACCCTAACCCTAAGCCATTTGACACCTTAGCCCTAAACCTAACCATTAGCAAAATGGTTAGGTACAAAGTATAGACCAGCAAATTGTCTTTTTCTTTGCAATGACAGGTCCTCAATTTGATGGAAAAATTTGAAAAATGGTCCTCACTCTGATGGCTTGACAGGCACACACACACACACACTGACACAATGCTTGTTGATTGATTCTTTAGTCAAACAAGTTAAGACAGTTAAGACAAAGGTACTGTTTAGTCTGATCTATGCAAGTATTTAATGATGGATATATGAGGTGCTGGGATACAATGTTACACAATTTGGTACTAGAGAGATGATGATTGGTCTCTGTTGAATCTAACATTGACTGTTCAACTTTTTTTCCTTTATTTAAAAGAATTAAGCTTTTTTTTTTCTTATTTACTTCTCATAGATTTTAAGTAATGAGACTGCCATGATTGTTTCTCCTCCAATGGTAGTTCTTAGGAACTTCTCTGACATTTGGAGGACTGGCAGCTTAGTGGTTAGGACACAGAGCTTGGAATCCTGTGGTTCTGGTTTAAGCCCCACTCCCACAGATTGCCACTCTGAGCAGAAATCTCAAGCTGTACTTAAGTACACTTTTTATGTATCTATATTTTACTCCATTACTTATTTTTCTGCCTACTTCTGACTTCTCCTCATTAGATTTTCACACAAGTATCTTTATTTTCTATTCCGTATGTTTTTAAAACAAACATTACTCGTTACTCTTGGCTTCGGTTTAATGTTTATAAATATTTATTTCACGCCATGTGCGCCATCCAATGCAGATCATTGGCGCCATCCACATCTAGTGAAAACTAGTGTAATTGGATGAGTCATAGAATGCAAACACTCATTGGTTAGCTAAAGGAAATCATCAGAAGCAAGCAGGTGTTCTTCAAACTGTAAACGTGAATTGTCTATGCCATGCTACAATGTCTGATTAAGAAAAAGGTTTTGAAATGTCTGAAAGGTCGGACACAGGCGAGAACGTATCAGGAGATAGAGACGGAGACCAAAAAGACCTCCTTCATCCTTGGCCCTATCTCAAACAATTTTTCAAAATAGTCGTAAAATTGAGCTTTCAATTCATATAGTGGCATCTGACTGTTTTTTTTTTTATTTAAGGTTACTTTATACTTTTATACTTTAAGTAGTTTTTGGAGCACATACTGTTTTACTTTTACTTGAGTAAAGAGGTCAAGCTGATACTTCAACTTTTACCAGAGTGTTTTTAAACTGCAGTATCTATACTTCCACTTAAGTCACAAATGTGTGTACCTTTGACACCACTGACTCTTAGTCCCTGAGCAAAAGACCGTTAACCCCACACTGTTCCCCATGCGCTTCACAAATGGCAGCCCACTGCTCCCCAAGGGTTCAATGCAGAGAGTTTGTTTCGTTGCACTGTCCTTGTAACAGTGTAATGTGTAACAGTATAACAGCTGGGAAAAAGTGTTATTCTTGGACCACACAGCCATCGGTTTAACATTTTAGGATTTTAACTGAACCCAAGTGCATCACAGGGCATCAAATCTTATTTGTTACTTCAGTTTCAAAATTAGACTGAGGCCTCTAAACATGTGTTATGTGCACCACTGCATCAAACACAACTTGATCATTTGTTACGGTTATTAGTTTAATGGCAGAAGATCTTCTGTCTTATTTGTTGCTTTATTTAGTCTCACCTCAGCTGCCCTGCTTTTAATATTTCAAAGCAGGGCAGCATCTTGGCTGTTGCGTGGAGGTGTTTACCTTCCTGTTACCAGCATGGACCCTAAGAAGAATCCAGCCTTTGAGGAGATAAGGAAAGCATTGGATTTCCTTACCGGAGAAACCTCGGCCAACCTCGGCCATTCGTCTTAAGCAAAAGTCCATTTTGAACCTGGTTGAAGAGGTGAAGGCATTACGGCTGCTGAATGACAAAAAGGACAAACAGATTACAGTTTTGGAAGACTGAGTGGCTGACTTGGAACAGTACGCCAGAATGAACGATGTGATCATCACTGGACTGCCTGTCAAGCCCCACTCTTTCACCGGCGCCGTGGCAGTGCCCTGTCCGGCTGGTGAGCCGTCACCCGACGAGAGAGTCCACAGAGGAACAGGTGGCCTCGTTCCTCTTGCCAAGAGGATAAAGCTGGACTGTGACTCAGTTAAAACATACCATTCGCTCCAGAGATGAGGGATCAACAACAAACTGCAGATTATCATGAGCTTCAGTAACTGGAAACAAAAAACTGCTCTACTGAAACAGGGCAGGTTGCTAAAGGGCGTGTTTATTAACGAGCACCTGACCAAGAAGAATGCTGAGATCGCAGGGAAGGCCTGGTTCCTGAGGAAGCAGAAGAAGATTTAAATAATCGTCAACGAATTTAGTAATTGATTAATAATTAACTGGAGTATAGGGCAACTAAAATGTGCCTTTTGTCGACAGAGCTATATATATATATATATATATATATATATATATATATATATATATATATATATATATATATATATATATATATATTATTATCATTATTTATTTTTGTGTGTGTGTGGTCTTGTTTTACCTACAGTACAATGTGAGGGAAGCATTTTGTAGAATATCCTACATGCGAGGACTTACTGGTACATATGGGGACCTTTAACTGGTCCCTATATGGTAAAGTTCTGTTCTTTGAGTTGGGGTTAGGTTAAGGACTAAGGTGTGAATTCAGTTTAGGTTAGGATTAGGTACATCTTGGTAATAGTTAGGGTTAGGTTAAGGGTAAGGGTCTGGGTTAGGCCATATAAAATAAATGCAAGTCAATTAAAGTCCCCCATATGTCATGAAAACACAGCTGTGCGTGTGTATGTGTGTATTGGACAATAAACAAGTATAACAGGAAGCCTACTCTACCTTAGGTTCAAGTGGAATTAGAGGGAGAGGGGGCATGGACAATAACTTCTCCCCTCAGGCAATTTCCATTAATCAATGTCACTTCTCTGGCCGTATATACTGACAAGTTTATTTAGTGGAGGGTTTTGTTTCTATTTATGTTCAGGTGAATTTACTTAGTTGAAAGTTAGGGTTTGTTTAGTTGATGTTAACTGGTCTCTGTTGTATGTAATTTGTTGATTCATTTATTGTTGTTTTTCATAATTGTCTGAATTAAATTCCTATTAATTAATTAATTCAAATATCTTAAAACTAATGGAAAGAGACATAAAATTCAGCCCTGACTGGGCTAATCAGCATGTCAAATCGAGTCATTAACCAGGAGCCGGATTTTCCTACCAGCCAAGCTTTGTAAATGGGTACAATTTGAATAAATGATCAAATTAATCAATTAAACAGCTTCTAAAACAGGCAGAACTTCATTGGGGCGGATTTCGTTTTAAATACGATTTTCATATAAGAAAACCTAAATTAACATTTTGATTGTTCACATTTGATCCCTACATTAGCGTTTTATATTAATCTATGAGATTTTATATCTTGGTTCTTTTTCATAAGTTAATAAAATGATTTGAATGTTTGACAAAACATTTAACAGAAAAGGACAGTTGTATTTTCAGTTTGTTTATTTATTTATTTTTATTAGGCTAGATTGATAAAGCAAGTTTAAATGAATATATTCAGGTCAGGTGAAGCTTTGTACTGTATGTATTTCCTTATAAGCTGGAAAGTACTGGATAAGTATGAGTCACATCGCTCTAAGGTGGGGCAGTTACTGGTCAGCTGATTGCATTGAGGTGGGTCTTGATGACTGTAACCTGCATACTGGTATAAATAAGATGTCTCCTCTCAAGTTGCAGACACATCTGACCTGAAGTGACAACAGGACTAAACATGGTGAAGAAAGGCCGCTCTGAGCTGATGCTGCTCATCCTTTTCATGCTTGTGTTTTGGTTAGAAGCAAAGATACCCAAAACCATAACCATTCCTTCTCAGACACTTACATGGCATCTAGCGAGAAAGTACTGCCAGGATAACTATATAGACATGGTTACCTGGGACACAGTAGACATGGACCTGTTGACTGATTGGTTGGTGTCACAAAGCCACGAAAGGGTCTGGATTGGTTTACACGAAGATCCTGAGCACCCATCCATCTGGAGGATGATCGATGTAAGGTGAGTTTCTGTATTCATTCAATCTCTTTGCATTTTAACAAAATTATGGATGTAAAATGCAGCTGATTACATTCACATCATTTTTGTGTTTTTTGTTTGTGTTGTTTCAGAACTGGTAATGGCTTGACAGGAGATGATGTTTCAAACAGTACAAATTGGGCATCACCACCACAATCAGGTGCCAGCTGTGGATCTTATAGCACCACTGATAGAAAATGGCATAGCACAGTTTGCTCTGAACGCCTAAAATGGATGTGCTATGATGATAAGCTGGTGCTGGTGAAAGAAAACAAGATGTGGGAGGATGCAATGAATCACTGCAAGGGCATGTCATCAGAATCCAACAAATGTGACCTTGTCAGCATGTCTGGTTCATCTGACTTTAACTATGTGAGGAATCGTATCTACGGAGCCACCAGCGATCAGGTCTTTTTTTTCTTTACATTTTGTGATAACAAAATTGCATAAACCAGAATTTCATTCCATTCAATCAAAGCCATACTTGTCTTGAGGATTTATTGTGATTGTTGTTGCATTTCGACTCTTGCCTTGTGTCTATCAGGTTTGGATAGGCTTGCGCTTTCTGGGAGGGGAGTGGTGGTGGTCTGATGGAGAGATGCTGGAACAGGAAGCGACGCTGCCAGGTTGCCCCAGCAAGTGGAAACACTGTGGCACCGTGTCGAATCATAACAAAGAAAACTGGATTACCAGAGACTGCTCTGAGAAAAGAAACTTCATGTGCCATTGTAAAGCAGTAGCTTAACTAGAAGAAAAGCTGCGTCCCCCTTCTTAAAGGTTAACCTGCATGGCATTCTTTTCACTTACGTAGAATTTTCTTTCGATAGACAAATATTAACAGTTATGGGAGAGACTTAGAAATATTGATGAAATTTCTTTTTATTTGTTGCTTCTGCCAAAGTTTTAAGATTCTTAACATCTAGAATAAATAGGGTTGTGATAAATGCATGAAAGACTGCTTTCAGTGGTAAGAACCATTATCTAGATAAACACCCATAGGTAGAAAGTAGTACCTCTATTTACTTTTACCAGTCAATTTATGTTTTTTTAGCCACACTTTTGCAAAGTTGTTAGCACTGTTGTCTTGCAGCAAGGAGAACGTGGCTTTTAAAGCTTACCTTTGATCGTGTTGTGTATTTAAAAAAAAGCTGTAGAAATAAACTTGCTTTGCCTCAGAATGTGTAGTTGTGTTTCCATTGGCGTTGCATTGCAATAAAAAACCTCCATAGAATAATGTCTCTACATTTGTGCTTGAGGATAATTATTTTTGTCTTTTCGTTATGTTAAACACTTAATTCTCTCGCTGCAGACATTTTTATCAACAGTAATTTTGACTTGCAAAAATAACCTAGCAAAAAAAAAAATTGTTTCAATAATCATACTGATGATGGGAAGGTTGGAGATTAGTGCCTTGCTTTTTGTTTGCAGCAGCAGATCACTCCTTTACAACAATGGTTTGATAGATTGTGTTAGTACCGCCTGGGGGAAAACACCTTACAGAGGGGACTTGTATATTATTCATCATTAAACCAGAGGAAGGCCAATCTTTCTTAACAAAAGCTGTGAAAAAACATCAAGACTACAAAAGGAGATTAGTTGTTGTACTTTTTTTTTCTAAGCATATAACCTTCTTCTATTTTCTCCAAAGCCTCTGTCCAAAAGGCAGGGTAAACCCTGGACAAGTCATAAGTCCATTATAGGGCAACACAGATGGATACAACCATGACACTTATTATTCTTATTTGAACTTTCCATTGACTTCCATTAATTCCACACATACTCTAACCAACACATACTGTACCTGAACTTGTTTCATAACTTATTCCTAAACCTTGAGAAGAAAACTTTTCCTCACAAGTATTTATAAGTCCAGCCAATGTGGTATACATACTGTAGAAGTTAGCTTTACACTGTCCCCACAGAGTCACCCCTAGAGTAGAGAGGAAGAAGAATGCTAGCTATTGTTAGCTTGTTTGCTCGCAGCAATAAGGATTGCAATAATTCTAATAAAAAATGCGTCATAGTCAGCTCTTTATTTCAGATCTGCAGGAGTTGTTCACAGTGTCTATATTGGTTTAACAGCTGTAATGCTGCAAATAAATGTAAGAAAGTGTGAGTTCATTCTCTAATTTGTTCTCTAATTTTCATTTAGCACTGGCGAAATGAAAATTAGCTCTGTATTCTTTGATTTCCAATTTTGACCTTTACCCCCAGACGGTTTTGGTAAATCGACAGAAGAGCTGTACCTTCATATAAGCCACATGGTTCAAAGGGAATCTTAAAAAAGTAGCGGTTTATATTCCAGAAAATGCGGTATTAGTTTAGTTACTGACAATCTCAAGGAAAAAAGATTCTCTTGCATTCTCTGCATGGGGGTCGCGAAAGTTTTGTTTGATTAGACTTTTGTTTTTATATTTCCCCCTGCATCTTTTTCCACTAATTGAAATGTCTTTGAATACACATTGAGATAAATTCAACCCCCTGTAGTAAACAGATAAATGGAGGCAGAAGATGTCTTTCAGTCATCAATGCACACATTCAGCGACACACAGGAGCTCTTTCAAGCTGGGGACCGTTTCATTCACAACACCTGACCCATCAATGAGGAATCAGAAATAATTTAATAATCCCAGGGAGAAATTACTTTGATTACATCACTCCATCTGTAATAGAGTGACTATAGGACCAGGTCGATATAATGCAATTTCATACAATATATATAGTTAGGGGGTCCCCGCTCCCTCTCGCCATCAGTTTAAGGGTCCTTGGTCTTGAAAAAATTGAAGACCCCTGCTTTAGAGTCTCTTTAAAGATGTTTTAGTTAAACTGGAGTCCAGTCTTTGCCATCAGCCCTGACACTCTTTTTCACTTCAAACTGGTGGAGCCCTTCTCCACCAAGACTTATTTTCTTTGCAGAAACAACCTTCACTTGAAATGGGTCAATGATGCCTGAATCTTTTTAATTAAAATTGTGGACGTTGAGTAACAACATTTTTAGCTCTATCCTTTTACTCTTCAGTCTTGAGGATTGTAAACATGAATGTTAGTCTCTAACAATAATAACAGTCCTCAACATGTATAATAGAATCTTAAAAAGTCATTGAAACATTTTGGTTTGACCTTAGACCAGTAAATATGAGGCTCCAAAGAGTCTTCATCTGAGAACCAAGTATTTTAAATAGTCAGAATCTCCAAGAACCGCTCCTTTACACATTAAGGCATCACGAAACAGTTTAACTCAGAACGAGAATCCAAGTAGGGGGAAAGGCTGCTGTCAGGACATATCAGGTAACAATTATTAATCCATCTTCTTCTACTTATCTGTCAGGGTCACAACAGCGTGTCTGCAGCAGTCTATGGCTGGAAATTAGATAACCAATTAGACTCAAATTCTAATGAATGCTCATGGCAGTTTTTAGTTGAATATCCTTCTGTAAATTAGACTTTTAACAAACATTAGGACAGACTTTAAACATTCAGATGTTCTTAAAAGTTGACATGCCCTTCCATCAAAGGATAAATTCACTGTAGTATTTCAAATAACACAAAACTGAAAAAGGTAATAATAAATAAGAATGTACTAAATGATTATTTATCAAATACTGATTTATAGAATTATTTGAAAAAATAATTCCATATATAGATATATACACACACATATATATATATACACATACATATATATATACACATTCACACATATATATGTGTGTACATATACATATATATGTATATATATATACATACATATATATATATACATATATATATATATACATATATATATGTATATATATATATATATACACACACATACACACATATATATACACACACACACATATATGTGTGTACATATACATATATACATATATATATATACATACATATGTATATATATATATATATATATATATATATATATATATACATACATATGTATATATATATATATACATACATATGTATATATATATATATATATATATATACATACATATGTATATAAATATATATATATATATATATATATATATACATACATATGTATATAAATATATATATATATATATATATATATATATATATATATGTATACATATACATACACATATATATGTACCGGTATATTTGGTTCATTGATTTTCCAAATCAATGTAATGATTTCCACTTTTTATCCTTTTTATTACTTTTGTCAATTTAAATTTATTTTACTGATAGCTGATTTTTTTCTGTCTTTCATGGAAGGGTATGTAAACTTTTGAGCAAACCTGTACGTTTGACATGGCAGGAATGATCAGTCTCCCAGTTTGCCCGCCACTGTCTTCTCCTACTAGCAGTCTCCTGAAAATTTTCCGTACTATAAATTATTGAAAAAAAAAACGTTCATCTACCTCCTAAAGCGGAAAGGTTGCTAGTATCGCCAGTCAATATCTGATCACCTAATTGTAGCCTGAAATTGGTTATTTTAGATTTCGTGCGGATCTTTCTTAAAATACAGCTAATGGATACTGGAGCTTCACTGGGGCAGTTAGACAGCATGCAGCAGATTTAATAAGATTCCCTTAATGTCAAATACTAACTTGGCAGGCATGGACAAGGTTGTAACATTGGAGTTAGACCTACTAAAATATTTTTTACTTTATCTACTTGAATAGCTTTAAGAATGCATTTGTGTAAGAAATGTCACAAAATGAGTTGTTTAAAAAAACAATTTTTAAGGTGCTGGGAAGCACCAGCACACTAGCCATGCCTCAGCTGCAAAAGTACTGAGTAACTCATAAACGTATGTAATATACAGACCAAAATGTAGAGATATGTGCTAACTCTGGTATTTTAAAGACTATAACAAAACATTTCAAGTAAACAAAAAATGTAAATGAATAATAACAATTTCACACAGAAGAAACACTTGTTTTGTTTTTTACAAATTTATGAAAAGAGTACCTCCAGTGACAACCTTTACTCCTTGCTGAATATAAGCTTTACCTCCTAATCCGATGTAGATTCAATTCGGCTTGGTTGCAAGAATTTCCCCATTGTGGCAAAGGATTTTCCATTCTATTCTATTTTCTATTCTAAAAAAAAGGAGCCCTCATTTAGACATTAACATGGATCTTTATCTGGAGCTTGCTGCTTTTATCAACCAGCTTGTTCATTATTCAGTGAAGTTAAGATGGTGGGAGCAGCTGAACAAAGTATACTACTGTCAACAATTTACTCAAAAAACAGTAAATTAACTGGTTATTACCCACCTCTGCTGCTGAGCCACATTTATATCACTGAAAACATTACAGACTCCATGAATGCATACATTTTTCAATAAATCCAAAACTGAAGTTCCTGTTGAGGTAAAGGACGCGTTCAAAATCACATTCTTTCTAAAACACAAAAAAATCCTTTTCCAACAGGTTTTCTGACACTTAGCGATGATTGCATATGATGAATGAACATAAGGGTTGAGATTTCTTGCTCCTCAAATAAGTGAATAATTTAACCATCACTCAACAAACATTTACAGGCTGATATGTTTTATTATGTGCCATATAGAGGACTCAGTCACTCACATTGGTCATACTCAGTCTTAATTTAGTCCAGAACTCGACAATAAAAAAAATAAAAATCAAAAAATCAAATGACAAAAGGATGGATGAAGCCAGGGGCATCCTACAATTCGTCACCTCAAGGACCAGAAACGCCTTTTGGAGCAAAAACATCAACACGGCTGCCATCTTGGATCTGATCTCCAGTGAATTAATTTGTATTCCGGTCATTACATGCTTGACTAAAACTATAACTCCCTGAATTATTACCTGATTTTCTCACCAGTTTGTAACGGCTGAAATGTAACAAATTAAAAATATTTGTTTTCTTGCCGGGATACATTCTTCTGTGCTCTTTAATAAAAAGAGCACAGAAAAGGGTGTTTAATAGAGGGGGAGAGACAGGCGGCAGAGGACAACATGTCGGATTTGAATTCGAGGACTAGGGACTAAACACTGCGCCACCCTCACGCACGACACTGTTCTTTTAAAGGCTTGGTAAATTAATCTTTATTAGTTCCAGGTGATTCCAGTGTCCTGTCCTACCCTGCCTGGAAAAAACACTGTATTGCACAGCTTTCCCTTGTGGACGTAGGAGGGGAGGATGCATAGACCCACCCCCCCACCTCCCCTCCCCTTCCAGGCAGCTGCTTGCTCTGGGGCCAGAAGGTGCAACAGGAGGACGAACATCTTTGCCCCTCCATCCGTATGAAGATCTGAAATTCAGCAAAAGCAAACTAGTTAGCAAGATAGTAAGAAACAACACCTTTATAAAGTCTGACAAAGACTTAAAAACATTAAAATTCTATGTTATTTTCAATTTATTTCACCTGTTTGGAATCCTTTCTTTCAGGTATTTGTGAGGTTCTTTCTCTTCAGATCATCCAGGAGTCTCTCTATGTATTTCTTTGCCCTCTGCTCTCGGGCCTTGGCATTCAGGTTCTCCTGCTCTAGAATCTCCACTCTATTCAAAGCATCACTGAGTCTGGCCTTTATTAGAGTGGGTGAACAGGGCAAAGCATAGGAGTGGTCCTAATGGAAGGAAGGAAATATATATCAAACCAACCGCAGATGTTTGATGCACGGTTTTAACTTTGTTTGGGTGTTTCGGTGAAAAAGTGTGTTAATGTACTCACTTATGTATTTCTGAAAATAAAGTCGGAGGATTCTTTTGACATGACCAGAGTAAATATGCCATGAACTATATGGGAAATATCAAATAGAAATACTCACATCATTGGGCTGAGGTTTGCTCTCAGGGAGATCCTGTAAAGGGTCCAGTGGTGGATTATTTACAGCTTTCATTGAAAGGTCCAGTGGTTGGCTCTCTTCGGCTTCCGTTGCCGTTTCGTTACTTTCAGGGAGCGGCTTAGAAAGGTCCAGCAGAAGGCTGAACTCTGCTTTCCTTGAAAGGTCCAATAGTTGGCTCTGTTCAGCTTTAGTTGGGGTTTGCGTCTTCCTCTTTGATGGAGGCTAAAATATAAGAAATATAAGATGGATAAGAAAGATAAGATAACATGCAGAATAAACTAACGGTTTAATTCAAGTTGTTCAGCAAAGGGTGATACAGGGCTTGTAAAAATACGCCAGCTATCTTGTATGACACAAAAACACTAACGACAGACTGAAGGGAGCTAAACCTGGATTCCTGATTAAAACAAGTTGCAACAGCAAGGCACAACATGGGAAAGTAGAGGAAATGAACAGGCTTCATCTCTATGAACACAGAGTGGACCTTCTGTGGACCTAAATGAGCTTCAGTAGGTAACCATATCAGACTTTTTAAATAAAAAAATAAGTGCCTACACATACGTAGTGCAAGGATTGCAAGTTCCTAGAGCAGGGGTCTGTAACCTGCGGCCTAGGAGCCACATGTACATGTGACCCCTGAACTCTTAATAGGAACTGAAAAAAATAACTAATGTACTACAATAAGAAATACCACTCTTACAAGCATTTCTGTTTATTATAAAGGATATTTTAGCTGAATTTTTACACCAGAATTACTTTAAAAGCACCAGAAATATGTTTTAGGGCTATTTTGCTTTTAATTAGCTTGGAAATTATGTGTGTTATCATTATTATTTGTTTTTCTTTTTTGACATAAAATAATACCCTATAGAAGAAAAGCATCATCTTTATCATTTCTTTTGTGTTTTTCATTGCTGGTGAAGATTCTCAGTCATGCAGGTCATAGTCATTTAAAAAAAAGTTAAAAAAACAATGCACTGAACTTGTTTTTCCAAGTTTGAAGACCTTTCGCTTTCTCAATTCAAAATGAATCATGAAAAAAAATCATTTTCAATTAAAAAAGCTTCCTGCATGGGAAGCGAAACGTCTTCAAACTTGGAAAACAAAGTCCAGTGGTTTGTTTTTTTTTACCAGTTTTTATGTTTGTGGAGCGTTTTTCCATTATTCTAAAAGCTAAAAATACAATATATATATATATATATATATATATATATATATATATATATATATATATATATATATATATATATATATATATATATATATATATATATATATATATGAAGATAGCAACAGATTTTCTATGGAAGATATGTAACAAAAATAATAGGTTGCGTTTTATTAAAAAAGTCATGTAATAGAGTAAAATGGCTCTTTGATATGAAAGGTGGCAGACCGCCACCCTAGAGGCTCATCTGCAGTTCACAGATTCAGTTTATTTGAATGGATACAGGATCTACAAAACTGCTGAGTAAAGAACCAGAAATCTGTAATTCTTACAAATTGGTGAACAATAAATGCACACATGAATATGTCTCTCTTAAAAAAAAAAAACTCTTTGTCTGGTGTTCAAATAAAACCAAACCGCTATGCAAAGGAGTAGTGTCTTGTGACGTACAGTTCCATGTTTCCGTGTCTGCTCCCGTGCCCTTCGTCTGGCAGAGCGACCAGGGTCTGTTGGTTTGACAGACGCGTGTCCAAGATGTAAGGATGGGGCCCAGTCTGGGTCACTCTCCATCATCTCATAAGCTGGCTCACCTGAAACCATGTTAGGTTTGATTTAGAAAGCAAGTTCGTACTGGATAAGGCTATGTCTTATATCAAATTAATTAATTAATTTAATATGGGTGTTTACATTTGTTTTTGAAATAATAAGTGAAAATAATGGTGATTATGAATAATAAAACACAAATAATGCATTTTAAGTAATATTAAAAGTTTATGTTACCTTTATGAAAATGCCGAGAACAAACACACATGTGGGGGAATGTTTTGTTGAAAATGAGATCCTTTCTCCTCACTGCTGAAAGCCAGGCCATGCGACGTCTCTTTGTTATTTCCTCCAATTGAGGTCCATGTGATCGTTTCCAGGTTGGAAAACGGAAAAAACGGATTCCTTCGTCCACCGATCTGCCATGCCGGGACCGGCAGCCTACCACACAACACGATCGTGTCATTTCTGGAAAATAACTGTGCCGAAAGAACAGGGTTACCTCGCCTTTCCACCTAATATGGTGGTTTTCCCACGATGCACCGCGCCCGAGGTAAACAATTGACGTCACTTGGCGGAGACCGATTGCGCTATCAACGTCTTCTTCTTTTTTGTGGCGCTTGGCAAGCAATTTATTGATGCGCATTACCGCCATCTACTGGAATGGAGTGTGGATCGGAAGTTCTTCGTCTGTCTTCTTTTTCTCCTTCTATGTGAAGTATAATGGCGGTTGCCAAACAAAAGGTGAAGGTGTATTGCCGCCACCTACTGGTATAGATTGTGTAGCAAAATGTCTGTATTCTAGTTAATATATATTTACCTGCTATATAATGTTTTATACTAATTATGACCATTTATGTATGGTCTATACTTCTATAATATGATAAATACAATTTATTCAATAACAATTACCTAAACATTTATGTTTTATTCTTTAATCTTTAAAACATCTAATTTAAATGTAATTTTGATTAAAAAAAAATACTAATGTTAGAAATGTAAATAAAAAATGAAATTTTTTAGAGCTGTTTTAAACAAAATTTCTATAAAATAAATCTGTCTAAGTCTTAATCAATAAATAAACTTAACAATCCTGTCCCTTTAATATCTTAGTTCTACTTTCTTTTCTAATCGATCGATATATTAATTGAATCGCTATCCTTTTAATATTATTTATCTTAAATGACTTTGTTTTATTTACATCTGGATTAGTTGTTATTCCATCTGTCTCCCACCTTGTAAAAGTGTTTTTTCAACTTACCTCTTTCAGTCCTAAAAACTTTCCAGCTCCCCCCCCCCAAAAAAAAGTTAATTAATAAAAAAATAATAACAGCTACTCCATTGCAGCTTTTACTTCCCTGATTCTATTAGGGAAAAAGATCTCAGAGTATTAATTTATAAATCATTTATTTTTATTTTTTTTAATAAATTCATATTCTGAGATCATTTGTTATTGATACTCAGCATCTCATGTTTGTTTTCAACTTCAGTGTCTTTGATGTCTGAAAACTCCACTGCAGATTCTACTGTCATCTTGATTCTGTCACTTCTTTGTTGCCAGTATGTGACATTGGGAACTTTATAAATAAAAGTAATAAAGTTCTTTTTTTCTACAATCATTGCCTTTTGCTTCACTATACAGTTATGAGCATATATTTTCTATAAAATCTCTGTCCTCCCTGACTGACTTTAGTACATTCTCTGGGGTATTTCACCAATGTTTTATACATTTTTCCTGCTCTTGTTCTCCCACACATTTTGCACATCTTTAGCATTAAAAGAACATTAACCTTTTGGTTAATAAACTTTTAATGCTTGGATCCAATAACACTATTGTCTTACCTGTCAATTTTATTATTTTCCCAGTGAAACCACATGATTTATAGGCTACTAACTGAAAATTACTGCACTTGTTTGTAGATTGATATCAGGAAATTCCTCACACGAAGCAGAGACAGGGAAGCAGTAAAACAAGATGAGAGAGAGGGAGATAAGGTCCCGTTATGAATTAGTGATTTAAGCTAACTAGTTACATTAGGAACGTTATGAGCAATATGATAGATATTTACATAATTATAAATTTAAGTTTTTTAATGTTTGCTGTAGAGAATGAGAATGAAGGTGCTGGAGTAGCAAAGGGAGGAGGAGGCGAGACTGACAGGCAAGAGACAGGTGAAGGACAGGAGAGACAGGATCATGAAGGTTATGAGGGAGCAACATCCAGCGTCCACAAACAAGAAGGGGACATTAGGGGAAAGCATGATGGTCCTAGACAAGTGAAGTTGTCCCACCATCCCCAGGACAAATTTGGAGTAAAAAAACGTTCATTTAATTCAAAATGGTTTGAAAGCTTTTCCTGGTTGAAAAAGAAAGGCTTGTCATCAAGGATATGCAGTGTGTTTTCAACTTGCTTGATGACATCATGTTCCCCACACTAACGCAGGTCATCCAGATCTCCCTCACAATCACATTCTACAGCTGTAGTTGTGGAAGGTCATTCAGTGTGTTGAGAAGGATCCACACTTGGCTGAGGTGCACAATGGGACAAGACAGGCTCCATCATCTTGCTATTTTATCAGTTGAAAAGGAAGAACTTTCTAAGCTGAGTCACAGTCTAGTGATTGACAATGAAAAATAGGAGGTACACTTTAATGCTCAATAAATAAAAGAAAAACTTAGTTCGGGTTGAGTTAAACTTTCCCCTGAACTAAAACTCTGAAACCTAGGAATTAATGATTACTTCAGAATGAGTATAAGGAAACTTTTTATTTTTAAAGTTGGTAATGTCTTATTTTTTATCGCTGTAATGTTGAAAATGTTCATGTTTGTTAAAACAAATATGCTCTTACGCTCATTAATATCTCAACTGGTAATTTTGGTAGGAATTTATCAGGGTGGGGCAGTGTGCTTGTCTGTATTTGTGTATGGCAGGAGGGGCATATGCGGTAGGGGGCCAGTGGATATCTATGGGCCAGTGCCCCAGTAAAGCTTTGTGCCTAGCAACGCCCCTGCTGGGAAACCTTCAAAATGTGAAGAGAAAAAAAACAAAGATAATTGATTGTCGAATGTCTTTAGCTATGATGAAATAAATAAAAATGTTTATTGTTTAATCTTACTTGTGAAATGTAATCCTACGTGATCTGCTCTGAGTACTGCGCCGGTTATTGCAGCCGTTAGCAGCACAAACTACGGGCATAGTTTCTCTCTTTGTGTTTAAGCTAAGTGAGGAGAGACCCATCCAACATGGCGGTGACGCAGAACGAAGCATAGATATCCATAATAAAGGCTAGATGTCTTACGGCGGAGTCTCAAACGTCATCACCGGCGGCCATCTTACCTCAGGCAGGCTTTCTGTTGTGCTCTGTGGTACCTAATGTAAGGTGAGTGATCAGCACGAACACAAATACTCTTATCTCACTGAATTCTTGACGGATTTACAAACAGTTTGGTTTCTAAAAAACATTATGAACGTGGCTATAATTCTAGATGCTTGAACATTTCGAAATTGCAGATTTTCTTGTCGAAAAATGACTTAATCATGCAGCATAGTTGTGCATCACGGCTACTTGCGCAAGTTATCAAGGCTGAGACTATTAGTCAATTATATAGGTTTTACTGACACCAATAACGATTGTATGACAATTAATCTTTGGTGTAAATTACAATATTTGTGGATGTGGTTGTAGTTATTAGTTGGCTAATAACAATAATCTGAGTGTTGTTGTATTTTCATTATTAGCCTAACGTTAGCTGGCTAATAACAAGAAGTTGCAAAGTGAGACCTAACGTTAGTAAGTTAGCAGCTAACGTTACAGTTTAGCTAGCTGCTAACGTTAACCAGCAACTTTACATCAGTGGAAGAGGCAGAATTTAACATGATTTCCAATCGATTTGGTCTGTCAACACATCTTACATTATGTTACAGGAATTTGCTGGGTTTATTAAAAGGAAGATGCCAGACTTTTGCTATGACATAATAGTATTACAAGATTGTTGTTGACTCAAAGCTTTTATAAGTTTGTATTAGTTTCATTTGGACAACTTAAAGATGGTGTTGTGCCAAACATTTTCAACTTTTCAGCTCATCTTCAAAGGGCATGTGTATCATTGAAATTTAATCACATATTGATATACCAATCTTATACACCGTGAATTGTTGTTGGTCACTTTTGTTTTTGTTTCTGCAGGTTATATAATGTGTAAGCAGGAGGAGAAGATGTTCCATCCCTGTTTGCTGACATTCCTGCGCTAGTACATGACCACAGCTACCTTCCTGTCCGCTTTGATGGCCTTGTGGACAACGCTCTCTTGTACATTATACAGAAGCTCAATAAAACCTTCCTTTTCAAAGGGCATTAGCCAAGCTATGTTTTTTGGGTAATTTTTTAAATCTCTGTCTTCCATGTGTATACCATCACAGTAGTGTAGGTGGGGATTTCAACATGCTACATCTATATATACTTGTGAAGGGGACTATTGTACCAATTTTAATAGCAAATAAATGTCACTTTTATAATGGTTTAAAAATAGGAACTTTTGTGTAATTACCCCTGATATATAATCCGAATAGTCTACATGAAACTTCAAAGTGTTACCTTTAATTTAAAACCTGGATTATGCTGCTACACCAAGAGGTTGCCACACAATAAGCCTTTTCTCACAGTATTCCATATTTTATTATAACAATAATATTCATATTATAAAAGTATGTATGTAAATATAAATAAATTAGGACTGTGAAATAATTAATCACACCCAAATAAAAGTGTTTATATATATATATATATATATATATATACACATATTAAAATATATATATATATATATATATATATATATAAATATGTATATATACAAATTTATATATATACATTATTTTATTTATATATATATATGTATATATATATATATATATACACATATTTATATATATAGGTATCTATATCTATATAGATATCTATCTATATAGATATCTATATATCATGTTGCCATTCAGTACACTGAGTTTTAATAGCATATATTGATTTAACATAAATACCTTGTGCATGTGTATATTTATTGCACCTGTATGTTCTATTCAATGTTCTTTTCATATGAAATACCATGGTTATAATTATTCATAAGTGTGCAGTATCATAACTACATGTCTGACTTTTGTTTAACAAACCAAACAATTAGACAATTCAGGAAGTTATGGTTATTTAAGTACATGCGCCTTTAAAACACAATGTTACGAATGAGCGAGCTGCCTGTGGCAAGATGGCCGCCACGTGCGGACGTCGACCCCCATTGGCCAGCAGCGCGGACGAGACATCTAGCCTTAATTATGGATATCTATGGAACGAAGCTTCTAAAAGCACGACGCGGAACCTTTTGGTCAACACACTGTACTCTATCGGAGGTAGTTTGCTGTAACACAGTTGACTTCCGCTTGTCATTCAGCTGCCAGACGGTGTACATTAAATCAGCTATTTAATCCCAGTAAGTTAAACTTTTTATTTTATTTTGTTTTTGGTTAAATCTATAACAGTTATATGTATCTGTTCACTGAATGAAACACACTTTATTTGTTTATTCATACCGATATTAGATAGGGGCAACGTAAAGATGAAGGTGAGGTTAATGTAGCTTAGCTAGCTGATGGTTACATTTCAATGCTTTTCAACGATATGTGATCATTTTTTATAAATCCTTTTTTTCAAACAGTTAATTTGATGTTTCTTGAAACAAATACTAAATGAACGACTATCAGACTGTTTTTTTCTAGTTAATTATATGTGGGTGAATTTAATTAGCCATTTAAAACATTTTATGCATGGTTTTTAGGTAAAAGCAACTTGTCGATCAGTCACTGTGACTTTAATATATTGTCATCTGTGAGTCATTTATAAGTGTGAGATTAGACCTATTCCGTAGTGAGTATTTACTGTATCGATTGGCCTGTGAGGATCAGTTTTTAATCATTTAATCATATTTACCTTAAACCTGTGTTTTTTTTTGTTTTGTTTTTTTGTTTTTTTTTTGTCTCTCTGCACAGGGAGCTGATTTTCATCAACAGGCGCCATGACACTTTTTCACTTTGGAAACTGCTTTGCCCTGGCTTACTTTCCTTACTTTATCACATACAAGTGCAGTGGCCTGTGAGTGTTTCATGTTTTTGTGTTTATAAATGACTCAATTAAGAATTAGAGAAATTAAATGGTCATTTGTATAAGTAGACTCCTGCTTCATGCAGCACTCAGCTGCAGCACCAACACATGCTCTGAGAATCTTATTTTATCTCATAAGCTTCTTAGTAATGTTAAGTTTGGGAAGAGGGGGCCTATAATCCTTTTAGGACTATGTAACGTGCATTTGGACCAGTCCCAGCTATTATGGTATCACATCATTAAGAAAAATTGCTCTTATATTTCATAAATCTGACATAACTTGCACTTTATGTCCTAGTCCCACTAATTAACCTAACTTTGTTTGTTTTTCTGTTCTTTAGCTCCGAGTATAATGCTTTCTGGAGATGCGTCCAGGCTGGAGCAACGTACCTGTTTGTCCAACTGTGCAAAGTAAAGGAACTGTTTCTTCTGCCTTCATTTAGAAATGGAGTGATCAGAATAGTTTCAGTTGATTAGCAGTTTCTGGGGTTTTAATGAAAACTGTACTAGAAATGTGTTTTATTTCAGTTTTTTTTTTTTTTTTCATTTATACCGGAGGTCTTCAGCAGGGAGCCAACAGAGCTACTGCATGGGGGTCCTAAAAGTTTTGTTTGATTAGACTTTATATATATATATTCCCCCCCTGCATGTTTCACACTAATTGAAATGTCTTTTAATACAAATTAACATGAATTCAACACACTGTAGTAAACAGATAAATGGAGGCAGAAGATGTCTTTCAGTCATCAATTCACACATTCAGCGACACACAGGAGCTGTTTCAATCTGGGCACCGTTTCATTCACAACACCTGTCCCATCAACCAGGAATCAGAATTAGAAATACTTTAATAATCCCGCGGAGAAATTACTTTCGTTACATGACTCCATCTGTTATAGAGTGACTATAGGACCAGTTTAATATAACACAATTTCATACAATATGTTCATATAATTAGGGGGACCCGCTCCATCTTGCCATCAGTTTGGGGGCCCTTGGCCTGGAAAAACGTTGAAGGCCCCTGATTTATACTATGAAAAGGAGCGACATCACATGTATATTAGTGTAATCACTCCCTGTATAACAGGGTTAGAATAATATTTTAACTGAAGACTAACTTGGAATTGAATTATTTCCAATGTTTTTAGTATCATTTGTTATTAAATAATGTGGTAATTTTAGATGGCTTTACTAAAACATTCTTCTTCTTTGTATTAGGATGAAAATGAAGATTTTTTCTAAACACTGTTTGAATTTACAGTTTAAATATTAACCATGCCTTTTCTGTCCTGATAAACATTCATGACGGAAAGGCAAAGGCTCACGGCACATTAACTGAATCATTCAGCCTTCATATTGTGTGCAGGGAGTCTCTTTCCTCTAGTTTCAGTTTTACATACCTTACTCCAAAGAAACTAGCTAGCTATGAGACTTCTTCTCTCATTAATCTAAAAACAATTATGATTTTTGAATTATTACCTGGATTCTGGTTGCATCTCTTCTCCCATTAATATCTGAACTGTTTCTGAGCATCAACAGAAAATGCATCGTTATACAAACTGATGTTCTTCTGTTGGAGAGCTTATAATCTCTTCATCCTTTATCTTTCTGTCTGTTAGATGCTGTTTCTTGCTACATTTTTCCCCACCTGGGAAGGAGGAGCCGGCGTTTATGACTTTGTTGGGGTGAGTCTTAAAAGTTTATTGTAGAACGAAAATCAGATAAAAATCTGTAGCCCTCTTTAGATTATTTTTCGTTACTAAACTCTCCTGTAAGTCTGTCCAGATTGGGAGCCATGTTGGCTGCTTTCAGTTGGGAAAACATGCAGATCATGAAATCAAAGATCTAAAAGGGATATTTTTCTAGCCTCCACAAGATAAGACTTAACATGGAATAAAAATGTGTTGATTTCTCAGGAGTTCATGAAGTCCACAGTGGACCTGGCCGACCTGTTGGGTCTTCATCTAGTGATGTCTCGTAATGCTGGGAAAGGAGAGTATAAGATCATGGTTGCTGCCATGGGCTGGGCCACAGCAGAACTTGTGATGTCGAGGTTAGCACCAACTCTCCTGCTGCAAACAAACATATTTCCTATAAAATTTATCCACATGTATAAATACTTAATATCTTTTGTTTTGATACCTTGATGTTTCTTCAGGTTTCTCCCTCTCTGGGTCGGCGCCAGAGGAATAGAGTTCGATTGGAAGTACATCCAGATGAGCTTTGACTCTAACATTAGTTTGGTGAGCAGCTTCGCTATAATCGCCCTTTTTCCTTTCTTTCCATTTAAACTCATGTTCCTGATGGTTCTGTTTGTTTGGGCTTATTTATATTCTAGATTTGTTAACCTAAATAATTGTGTGTTTAGGTCCATTATATCGCCATGGCAGCTGTTGTGTGGATGTTCACCCGATATGACCTCCCTAAGAGCTTCAGGCTGCCGGTCACCGTGCTGCTGGCCCTGTGTGTATATAAGGCCTTTTTAATTGAGTAAGTCACACACTCTGTTACATAAAAACGACAGCGTTACAAATCTCTGTGAAAAACATTTAAAGCATAGATTTAGATTGACATTTAGAAAGTCTGAAACAGGCGCATCTACTACATGGCTGATGTGTTTTGCTTATTGCATACCTGAGCAAAATGATTTCTTCTTTTCAGAGTTTGTAGGTAGTCATGTGAACCACAGGATCTCTGATGGAGTTTTTGCAGCTACACCTAGAGAAATATATCTATATGGAGTGTTTCTTTCAGTGATTCAGGTGGAAATAAGCTGGGAAATGTGTTTAGTTTTGGCATATAGAAATTATGCATTTTTTTCATAAATGTTTCTTTTTTTTTATTTTAGTTTTTTTTTAGATTAATGTGTTTGTTTAGATAAACCTGCATAGCTTATAATTAGGCTAATCAGTGAACCCATGGCTGTTCATTATGATGGCGGTGATGTCACTGAACTTAGATATTTTCTCATGTTTCTTCATTGCTTTCCCTTTTTTCTCTGCACTGAGACATGTTGCATTTTAGGGTGATTTACTGAGACCAAGCTGCATCTCTCAACTTAAAGGCCAAGATATTCTGCTCACGTCCCATGGCACAAGCTCCAATGTAGCTTCTATTATTTCTGCTACACTAGCTGCTTAGAAGCTCCCACTATGCACAGTGTGACCAGATGTCCTGATTTATGCAGGACGGTGCTGCACTTATCATTGTCAGTGTCCCACAAATGAAAACAATGTCCTACACTTACTACATCAAATCTTGAAAAGTCCAAAAAGAAATGAAATATTCAGGTGCTTTTATTAAATGTAAAGAAAGCCGAGCTACAGTCATTGTTTAAAGGAATAGTACACCCAAAACATGATTAGCCTTCATTTTCTACTCACCTCCATGCTGAACAACACTCTGGAGTACTTTTTTGATATCTCAAATGCATCTGGAGATCTGGGAGGCTTCTTGCTGTCTGCTGACATTCAAATAATGGAGGTCCATGGCGCCCGAGACAGAAAGGTCCATAAAAGTCCACAAAAACGTGTCAATATTCCTCCATACTGCTCGTCCAATGTAATCCAAGTGTCCTGAGTGGGTAGCATCCAGAATTTACTCGAAACGAAGTCATTTAGAATGTTTTTAGAGCATAAACAGTAGTGTATAGGATTTCCTAATAGCGCCCCCATGCGCGCTCACGATTCTACGGAAGCCGGCAGACCAAACCAGCGCATTCAGCTCGGCAAAGAACTCATGCTCTTCCTCAACACTGAAGTCCTCAGACATTTTTCTTTCGTTGTTTCTTTCTTTGCACAGGTAAACAGCACATTTCTTCTTCTACGCTTGCATTATCGGCAGACCAGACGCTGAATGCGCACTTTCTTCCGGTTTGGTCTGCCGGCTTCCGTAGAATCGTGAGCGCGCATGGGGGCGCTATTAGGAAATCCTATACACTACTGTTTATGCTCTAAAAACATTCTAAATGACTTCGTTTCGAGTAAATTCTGGATGCTACCCACTCAGGACACTTGGATTACATTGGACGAGCAGTATGGAGGAATATTGACACGTTTTTGTGGACTTTTATGGACCTTTCTGTCTCGGGCGCCATGGACCTCCATTATTTGAATGTCAGCAGACAGCAAGAAGCCTCCCAGATCTCCAGATGCATTTGAGATATCAAAAAAGTACTCCAGAGTGTTGTTCAGCATGGAGGTGAGTAGAAAATGAAGGCTAATCATGTTTTGGGTGTACTATTCCTTTAAGATCTGCTCCACCTGCCAATCAAAATACAAAGCGGCACTTTGAGGGATTTTTGAAGCTCAAAGAAAGTCGCCTTTTTACTTGACCCATCTTTAGTTCTCTGAGCTCATACCACGTTTATATAACTATTTGAATGAATTTTTCCAAATGGGGCAAACCTGACTGTTTACCACCAGATTTGCTTTTTATTTTGCCCAAAGCAGATGGTTTTATTTCCTCAAGGTTTCGCTCTCTCTGGCTGACTCAAGACATCCCTGTTAAGTTGCTGTGTATGTCCTTAAAGAACAGACCAGTGGTCTGTCGTTCAGAGCTATACAAGCACAGCTGCAGAGAATCATGTGTGGTCTGACAGTTGCATGCATTTTCCATGAGATGTAATTTCCCTAATTTCTTACCCTCCAATTCTCCATCAGAGTGGCTGCTAAAACATTTCCACTGTTCCCCAATAAATAGGAATATAAGAGAAAATTAAAATGTGATCTGTAAATGAGGCTGTTTTTACCTCTGTTGAGGTTATTTGTTCATGGATCAGTCTGTAGATTTACAGTCAAGGATTAAGTCAGGTTGGTTTTTGTAACTTATTTATTTTTTCTTATGTCCTCAGGTTGTTTGTCCATGTGTTCGTTTTGGGCAGCTGGACAGTGTTGCTGGTGAAAGCTGTGCTCACCGGCGCCATCTCTCTCTGCTCGCTTTTCCTTTTTGTCACCCTTGTTCACAGTAACTGAAGAAATCACAGCACACAGAACAAATCCTCAACAGTCACAGTTCCAACTGGAGAGTCAGTGACCGATGAAGTTAGCTTGAAAATGATTGGTGCCGCTAGTTGGAGCAGACTGACTTGATCCAGGAACTGGTACAGCGACCAGCTTCTCCAGTTTCTATTGATCGCTTCTTATGAGCCCATGAGGACAGAGAACCTTCTCTGGGTTGATTAGTTGATGCTAACGAAGATATTTCACCCTCAGAGGTCTTCTTCAGTATAACTGGCTTGTGTTGTTTTTTTTAAAAATGTGAATTTTGTATCGATGTTACTGTAACTGAACTAACACTTAATAAAATGACATTTCTTTCATCTGTTCTCCAGTTTGTGCTTTGATCAGACTTTAAAGTTTTTATTAAAAGGGACATCTTTAAATATGCAGGCCATGTATCCGTTTTTGGTATAAGAATAATTGCATAATTGAAGCATCATCATAAAGACTTCAATGCAAAACATATTGCATTTGAACTTCTTGGAGCTATAAAACAAAACAAAACCTCTAATTTGGATCATTGATGCTAAACTCAAACTCTTTGGTCAGACAACAGATAACTATCGATGTTTAACAGAAGAGTGGAGCTAAGGATCTAATAAAGATGGCAGTGGTTAAGCTTGAAGAGGTGCTGTAGAATCCCACAGTCTGCTCTGCACAGGACTCTGGGTCTGACGCCTACTGAACCTGAGGCTTTATTGTGATTCTGTCTCCAGTTGCCTCTTTACCTGATTTCTAGAGAGAGAGACAGACGGAAGTGGGAAGGAGCAGCACCATCTTCTGCTTTGTTTAAAAACAGCAGGGTGATCCATGGCAGAGAGAGAAGGTTAAAGTTTGAAAGACGGGGAAGCTTTGGGTCAAAGGAGGGTGGGATGTCTGAGTTGAACCAGTTGAAGAATGTGTTCAGGTAATTTGCTCTGTCCCGATTTCCATCTGTCTGATCCTCCTCCTGCTTGAAGCCTTCATGCCTCTGATGTCCTGGAACTTCCTCCTGTATGCTGCACGTCTTACCTTGATCATCAGTTGCTTCTTTGTAATAAACACAGACTCTGCTAAAAGTAACGACCGAATATCTTCACCTAAGAAAAGGAAAGTAGAGTGTACTTAAGCACAATAGTGAAATAATGTTTAAAAGTTTTCATCTTTTGCTAACTGTGGCGGTCGACATAAAGATACTGGCTCCATCTGCTTTTGTTCTAAATTAGCGAGTTTATGGACTATGGCAAAAGCAGCTCAGAATATCACATTCTATGGAAATCAGTCCTTTACTAGAATTATAGAATTTATTGCATAATAGAGCCTGTTTCCTAAAAGTACTCAAAGTTCCATAAAAGATCTATGAATGTTCAAAAATATATATATTTAGAAAACACTTTGATATGTTTCACTGCATTTTCACAAAAAAATATTTAAAGTTAATTGTAAGTTTCAAGGATGTTTTTTTTTTATGAAACTGAGAACGAGATTAACAACAAATGAGAGCGGCCTGCTTAAACATCACTGGAATAGAATAAAGGCAGCAACAGCAGGAAATAAACAATTACTAGAAAATCAAGAACTCCCAGTTGAATAAAAACGATTTAACCATCTTGAAATATGGAATAAAAGGCCAAGGCCTTTAAAAATAGGAGTGCTCATACTGCAGCTCCTTTATTATAATGAAAGAATGTACATCACTTCAAAATTGAACCATTGTAATTACAATCGTATGTTATTCTTTGCAAACTGAGAGCAATGATACATTAATAAATTTGTTAAATGAGTGCAAAAAAGAAAAAGAAAAAACAAACACTGTTTACAGCAGTCACACTGCATATTTTACCAGAAACCTTGTGGCACTGACGTTTGTCCTATTGGTTATTGTTAGTTCTCAAAATGCAAAACTGTCATTGAGAGTCCCTGTTATTCTACATGACCGTAAAGTGTCAGTTCAAACTCATAAACAGAGATTTTCTCTCATGGTGAAAGCTGTCAGCTGATAATGTCACTGATGCTAAGGTGGGTTGGGGGATTAGCTTCATGTTAAACACAACTCAACTATAGTTTATTATAAAATATTATTTCTGAGAGCCGTAATATAGAAAAACATAGGAATCCTTTAGTAACAAGCTTCCCTGCCATGAAATGTCGATATGTTGTTCTTAACCATTGCTACAGCCACATATGTACAAGACAGATTCAGGGACATTTAAAAATAGCTCAATCATGTACATCCAGTTTTTGTTAAGAATTTATGATGGAAGCTTTTTTTTATAAAAGCTTTAACAACTTTTATCAGTTTAAAATGTAAACCTAAAAGATTAATCACCAAAGTACATATAGTCAAAGTACCAGTGGACACTTGCATAAAGCTATATCCATGATTATTATCTCGATCGCTGTCATACGAGCAAAAACATCCCCTTTTATTTTATAGATGTGTGTAATTGATCTTTGAGTTTTTGGTTTAGTAGAAATTATTTTGAATGATAATCTGTCAGGGATAATGCATAGTTATAGGCGTAACAACCCACATTACCTCAAAGTCTACCAAGAAGCTACTAATTTCCTGTCATTAAATGGGGTTAAATGTTTAAGAACAACAATTATTAGAACAAACATTTAGTCTTTTCCGGTTTCATTTTCTAGTTTTGTTTAAAACTTTTTTTTTTTTTACTGAAATAAATTCCACAGTAGTGAATGTTTTCATAAATTGTATGTTTTAGATGTTCTCCATTTCACCACAGAAGGATCTCAGAGGAAGGTTGACCAATAAGGGGTTTACCTGAAATGGCAGCAGACTTCCTATCATCTGACATTGCTGCTTTGTCTTTCTGAGCTTTCTTATTGGCTGACAGGCCAGTCAACCTCTTTTATATAATTATTTTATGTTTAAATGTTTTCCTGGCTAGTTGTGATGTGTTTTCAGGTTAATCACTCTCAGTTGGTAAGAATAATCTGATTTTATACAGTCTGGATGCAGAAACTCCTTCCACTGGTGCTTAAAGAAGGAGATCTGACCGCTATTCATACTATTAGAAATAATGAACAGGTTGCTTGACTGGAATTCAAACGAATGGCAGTGATTGAGGATAAATGGACTCCACCAGGTGTGCTGGTGTGCTAAGGGAGTTTAGAGACGTTAGAAGAGGGGGGAAACCTTTTCTTACTAAATCACACAACAAAAAAAATATTCTGTTGTTGTAGGTAACCAGGGGCGGAGCTAAATGGGGGGCCAGGGGTGGCCATGGCCACCCCTGTGGCCACCCTACCACTTTTTCCCTCTAATAAAGACAGTGGCAACAGTAGTACTCTCAATAGAATATTCAAACAATTTAAATTTTTCATATATTAACATTTATTTGACAACAAAGACACTGTGGTTAATTACACACACACATATGCTGAAATTAAAGGTAAGTACGTAATTCATGCTCTTTTCAGAACTAGATTTTGTGTTTTATGGGATAAAGAGAAAATTATGTGCCTATGCAAGTCATCTGGGAGTCTTGAGTGAAATCATAGATAAATAACTATTTTAATAAAAAAATTATTAAATAATCAATTTATCTAGATATTTTACTTGTAAATATAATTTTTTTGCAGAATGATTATTGATAAAAATAAGCAATAACAACGGAAAAGATGTTTGCCCCAGAACTTAAACCTGAAAGAATTGCATCCATTATATATGCATCTATTTGTTAGCAAAGGCTTTAAGAAAAGGATAGTTTATCTTTATTTAGAAAATATGGATGTTTTGCTCATTAATTTTCCTGTTGGAACAGTGTAGCTTAACCCTGAGGTTCTTGCTCCTATCCCCTTTCAGCCACCCCTCAACATACATCAGTTATTGCCTAGCCACCCTTATAAAAATTTTCTGGCTACACCTCTGTAGGTAATATATGCAATAATGGACCAAAAGAATGTCTGTCTTCATATTAATTCCACTAGATGGCAGCATTTCTAGGTAATCCAGGAAGTTTGAGTTTGTTTGCCATTTCCTAGGAGAGATGTAAGAGTTAAAGTCCAGACTGACTATTTTAGAACATCCTAAAAGGATGCATGGTGGTAAAAATTGGGAACCTGATTATCTAATTTAAATTAACAGAAAATTGTTAAAATATTTGCTTTATTAGATGAAAGAAAGTTTTTTAGTCACTGTGTGGTTTGCAGTGGACCGAGCATGTGAAGACCTGGATATAAGCAGGGCCGGCCGATAGGATCCTGTTCTTTACATATGAAGACATGGTTCACTTAACAGTTTTAGCAGAAGTGCAGCAATTGATACAGTAAATAGTAAGATGAGACCTTAACATATAGGTACAGGTATTGCTTATCCATAAATCATATACAGTATTTCTAATAGTAGGAAAGAAAGAAATAACATAACTTTTTTGCCTTGGTTTTTAAACTTGGTGGGATTTTTTTTTATTTAAGTAGGTTTTTTTCTCTAATAAATTCTTAGATCATTTGTTACCCTTTATGGTTCCTTCCAGTTTTTTTGCTTTGTGTTTTCCTCTTTAATCTTTCTGTCCTCATCTATTTCCTGAGAAGAGATGAATCGGAACAAACACTTGAAATAAAACTTTTTAATTTATATGTATTAAATGACTTGGAGACATGAAGACAGTTACAGTAACTATAGTCTTACTCAGACTAGAGAAATGGCTTGGGGTACAGAAAGTCTGCCCAAAATAACAGATAAAGAAGAATTTTATGCATCTCACATAATTACCAAAATTTGTACATGTTTGTAATGATGAAACATCATTGGCTTCCGCCAAATACAGTGTTTTATTTTTCACAAGGACAATCCAATCCAATGCACACTACCTAAGAATGATCTACTGTCTGTGCCTCCATATTACTCCCAAATCCTTGTTAGGTACATCATGAAGGTGATTAATTTTATTCCTGATGGAAGAACTGTAATTGATAGATAAACAACTTGAGAAAACATCAGTCTTGACACTAAACAGGCAGGTAATGTTAGGTTTTAACAAGCACATACATAACAATATATATATATATATATATATATATATATATATATATATATATATATATATATATATATATATATATATATATATATATATATATATATATATATATATATATTTTTTTTTTTTTTTTTTTTTTTTTTTTTGATGGAGGGCAAACAACATAGGGGAACAAAAGGGCTTAGGAGGACTGATATATGTAGAGAGATAATAGATATGTTATATATTATTATCTTTTTTTTTTGAGTTACTAAAGGCTTTGTAAAGAAAGGATAAGCAATGGAGGGCATGAGGGATGTTGGGTCTTCACGCTTTCCAAACATCCAGAGTAAAAGGCATA